CCCCCCCCCCCCCCCCCCCCCTGCAGAGCTGTTTTTCTACACCCAAAAATACACTTTCACCCTGATCTGTATCTTAGACTTGGGTATTGAATGTCACCCGTCTCTGTGCGTAACCAAAGCTAGTGTTTTTGTATTGGCCTCTTGAATCTTGTAGTTCCATTGTGTATCAGTTATGGCATGGCTTGAAACTGTTGAATCTCAAGACTCAGCATGCCAACTGTAGGTATGTTGGGAATTGTCATCCTGGTGCTATGGTTCCTACATTAACCAATTGTGTGTCAGATTGTGTGTTCACTATACCAAGGACTTAGATACAAGTTTTTTTTTCTGTAGATATATAAAGAACCTTTCAGTGTGTCCAGAATGATTTGAGAAGGGGGGATATTCAATTAATGTTTGCAAAGACCCCTTTGTTTTGTTTACACAAAGGAACATTGCAATGCAACCCAATGGCTTTGTGCAATAACTGCAAAAAGCAGTAATCAAAAATCATGGATAAGTCAGAGCACAAACCTAAGGAAAGCTGAGCTGTGATTGGTTGCTACGGGTTCCTGACGCTTGTGCTTTGTTGTGAAATAAAGCCCAATGTACCCATGGCGACTCTGGGTGGGTACATAAAGTTACTTAGCATTGCCTGTTCTTTTTTTGGGGTATGAAGTAAGACCTCCTTAAATATGCCTAGCGTCAGATCATGCAGCAGGAGTATATAATCCTCACTATTTTCACGTGTGCTCTCTTTACGGGTTGTGGCTGGCAGTGAAGATTTGCTGGGCAGTCACAACTTGGACGAGGAGAGACAGCTGACGTTCCTCAAAGGTTCTTCAAGATATTTTGGGAAAGTCTTACCGTTTCTCATACTTCCCATGAGATCAAGTGACTTAAAAGAGGAGGCAGGTGTCAGTGTCTCTGACCCCCCAGCTGTGGTCTATTTAGGGGGTGGGAAGAGATTGAAAGAGAAGAACGGCCAAGGATTCAGTTTAGGGATTGGAGGTTTTTGCAGGCAGAAGTCAGGACCAAAGTTTACTCCAGAACTTACCGGTGCGTGCTGGCTGGATTGGCAGCGCCGATAGAGTCCTATCGCTTGGAGACAATAAATGGACAAACAGTGATATTTTTTGCATTTTATTTGCAGGTATCACATAAACCGCCAAGATGTCTAAAATAACAAATTCCCGAAAAACGCACCTGAAGGTAAGAAAAAAAGAAATGATAAAGTAACGATGACTTTGTTTCACATTAGAAAAAAACAATCCAATGTATGTTAAATGTAATGATAGTTTTACCCCAATTTGCATATACATATTTGTGATACATATGCACTATAATACACGTCTGTGTGAGTGTACATTACTACCGTATGTGCGGGTAGGCATGGGCCTCTAATTATCAACATTACCATGCGACTCTTGTTTTCTCTTCCTGATGTCAATGTACATTATTGAAATATATAGATTGGTTGCTTAATATATGTAGCACAAACAAAAGTGGTGTGCAGTAGTAACCCATAGCAACCTGTTCAATATCAGCTTTCAAGAATTCTAAAATCTGTTTGGGTGCTATTGGTTGCTATTGGTTACCACAATCCCTGACAGTATGTGCTGTATTTTAAGTATATCCAATTGAATATGAATATTATTATAGCTCAAAGTGTAAATGCAACACATATATACATATTATTAGAATATAATTAATATTCTCTAAGGGGAGAGCAGACAGAATGGGGAGAATTGATCAAAACTGGAGTAAACAGAAACTGGAGCAGTTGCCTATGGCAACCAATCAGCATCTCTCTTCAGTTTGCTCAGTTGGGATTTGAAAATGAGAGAGAGAAGCTGATTGGTTGCAGTGCAAATCTGCTCAGGTTTAGATAAATTCCCCTCAATGTTGAGCCCATGGCAACTAACCAGCCTCTATCTTTCATTTTCAAAGCTTAACTGAACAAACTGAAATATAGACACTGATTGGTTACTATGGGCAACTGCTCCAGATTCAGTTTGCTCCAGGGTACTGTGCAATCAGATTGTAATGTGTGTGTTTGAGCTTAACCCCTCGATTTGTAGAGCTTTTCTTTAACTTCCTGTTCCATCTCTGGGAAAGCTTCCCCAATGGGGCACAGGTAGCAAAACAAATAAATTGACAGGTTTGAACCCTTCCTGCTCAATCTTAAAACCAACAACAAAATTGGCTATCAATGAGCTTTAAAAGAAAGTTTGATTGGTTCCTCACTGGAACTGGCTCCTCACTGGTTTGATTGGTTCCTCATTGGATCGGCACTCTGCCAATCCCTGTTTTTCTTTGTAGAGCTTATTAAACCAGCCTGTATGTGTCATTACTAAAGAAGGTGACAGTAAGCCGGAGCCTTTAACAACTGAACATCTGTAGAGGAAAAAAAAATGATCTGTGCTTTGAATTTCAGACTCTTTACTACAGGGGTGGGCAACCTCAGCACTCCAGGTGTAGTGAAATATCCCATTGTGCCTCTGCGAGTCATGCCTGTGACGGTTAGAGCCTTACAATGCCTCATGGGACTTATGGTTCCACAACAGCTGGAGTGCCCAGGTTGCCTATACCTAGATTAATCCATTAACCCACAATGTAACTTACACTTTTAATGTCGTTTTAACTGTGTAGCTTAATAACACTGTTTATTGTCTATGGACAGAGCTTGATGCTCCAGGTGGCTAAAGTCGCACTAGAAAAAGAAGTAGCTGACGCCGCTGCTGAAAAGGAACGTTACCTGGCTGAGAACTGCCCCCCTCTGAGCCTCCCACATTCCTTGCAGGATCTGCAGGTACCAACAAATGTCCAGTGACAGGAGCCCAACCAGCCAACCAGGGTGACATGTTACACATATGGGCTTATTCAGAAAGCATTGCACCTGACAAACTTACTTATCAAAGTAACTGAGTAAAGGTGGTCTACATTGTCCACAGAAACCAATCAAATTTCCATTTCCTCTTTCCAAAGGTATCAGAGAGAATGAAAAGGACATACTGACAATACACTGTCTAAGCCAGTTCTTTTCTTAAAAGAATCAGACCACTGAACCCAGTGGTCTGATTATTAAAACAGTAGACTTGCTATGGGATACAGAAGATTATTTTATGTTTTGTTAGGTATTTACCTATAACATGATATATGTGTTAAGTTCTAACTAGACGTAATGAAACATATACTGCAGAAATAAAAACAAGAGCAATTATTTTACTCATTTTATTTTTTAAATAATTTATTTCTCTATTAAGAGTCCAGAGAAGGGCAACTAAACTAATTAAAGTGACATTAAACCCTCAGATTTTTGTAACATAAAACAATACTGTAATGTGCGCCCATGGTAGTTTCCCTTCTCTTTGCTGCTCTTCCTTTTAAATCTGTATCTGTTCTCATGCTGGGCAGAACTTCTGTTTTGCAGCAGACTGCCTTGTCTCTGGGATGGCTACATGGTGTCTGTGTGTAGGTTTGTAACCTGAGCCAGCACTACAGGAAGAGGCAGTCAGCTGCAAAGGGAACTTCTCCCCAAGCATGAGAAGACATGAGGATTTTAAAGGAAGAGCAGCAAAGAGAAGGGAAACTACCATGGATTACAGTAAGGCACACATTACAGTATTGGTTTATGTTAAAAAATCTGAGGGTTTAATGTCACTTTAAGGGGATGGAGGCCCAAACCTATGAGACAAGGTTACTAAATTTAAACATGTTCACGCTAGAAGTGATGAGATTAAGGGGGGACATGATTTTGATGTACAAGATGTTCAGTGGTGATAGCAACATCAGCAATAAACTTTTTACAGTAAACTCCATAACAAAGACTAGAGGCCACCACCTAAAATTGGTGGAGAAAAGATTTAACCACAAGCAGGGGCTTCTTAGAGTGGTTAGAGTCCGGAACTCACTGCCACAAGAATTGGTATCAGCCGAGAGTATTGAATCATTCAAAAAGCATTTAGACAACTTCCTCAGAGACCGTAACATAAAGGGGTATGGGTACCCTTAAAAACATGATCACACAGGGACTCATACACACACATACAGAATCACATACATACACACAATAGGTTGAACTTGATGGACCTGTGTCTTTATTCAACTTCAAATACTATGTAACTATGTAACTATTATTCAAGCGATGATGCATTACTATGCATTGGACATAACTGTGATATTATCCAACACAGTGGCTGCTCATGGTTATTTAAATCACAGCTGAGACTAAGAAGGCAAGAGGGCACATACTAAATCCGCATATAATGCTGAGCATATGCAATACCTATGTTCCTGGATCCATGTAGGCCATCTTTTCAGTTTTCTCTGTAGACACATCTGTGTAACCTCCAGAATGTTGAAACTGCATACATGTACTGGCTTTCTTTAGTGTTTCTTTAACCAATTAACTAGCTTAATTAGTTAATTGGTCCATGGTGCAAAGGAACCAGGCTTCTCTGTCTCAATATTAAGATCTACAGAGTTCTGGAATCCATGTTTAATTTTTGGAGTCAGTTATTTTATATCTTTTAAACCCTGCCTAACAGCAGACACAACAATGTGCCTTCAATTACTTTTGTTAAATAGAAAACCCTTCTCAATGTACCTTCCAGAAGCAAGTTTTACTGTCGCTAGGGACATTTCTTCCCTAATGTAAGAACTAAACACAGGCAATTCCTTATTGCATTACTGGCTACAAAAGCACTCCCATTGAACTTTGGGACAATGGTTGGCAGAGCTTAGCCATGAATTCAGAAAGGTGTACAAATTAGGGTTCCCTGGATAACAATATTAGCAGGCAGTGTCCGCTCATAAAGCAGTAGGTCTCTGTTGACCCTTTTGTTTTAAGTACTGGAGGAAACCTCTAAAAAAGAACATAGATATGCAAGACTCACTAACAGGCTATTCACTAAAGAGTGAAGAGTTTGAAGAAGGCAGAAGAAGTGAACAATCTAGGACAGCACAGCTAAATTGTTCTGAATCAGCTATTTTGGCCTAGATTGTTCACTTCTCCTGCCTTCTCCAAACTCTTCACCCATTAGTGAGTAGACCTGTAAGTATTTATGTCAACTATAGGTGAGTTATTCTACTGGAACAAAACAAAGGAACTAGTAAATAAACTCACATCTTAAGTTATGATGTTAATGATCAGATATTTTCTGAGGGTATTATATTTTGATGACACAGCACCATCTCTATAGACTGCTGGAATGGAACCGAAGAACCTGGACTCCAACAGCTATACATCCCAGATTAATGATCTGTCAGTACTACCAGCTGTAGCTAAAAGTAGATTTTACTATAAAGCACCTGCTTAAATCATTTAAGAATATACTGTAAAAAAATAAAATAAAGATACAGTGCAATGTGCACAAATATATTGTCCTATATCTGCATATTAGAAACACAATTTAGAAAGCAATAACGTTTCTAAGACCATTAATTTTTTTAAATAATCATTTATTTTCAAATCCAGCAGCAATTAATATGTTCAGCCCAGTTTGCTCCATGGAAATTTCAAGTACTTATAGTGTATAAATCTACAACAATTTAATTAATGCAGAATCACTCTAAGGCATATTTATTTATTGTCTTTGTTAACTTTCTTATCTTCACCCAGGAATTTTGCAAAAAGTTACATGCCAAGATTGATGTGGTTGATGAGGAGAGGTACGACATGGAAGTCAAAGTCCAGAAGAGCAGCAAGGAGGTAACTGCTTGATTATAAAGTCTTACAATTGGTATGTTGGAACAGCTGGGCGGATTATTCCAAATGATGCTCTAAATTTAGAGCATGACTTGTTATCATCAGACCGCCTCTGTACTCTTAGGGGAAAAAAACAAGCACCCCCGGCACTTGGAAGGTGTTGCTAATGCATAGGGACAATGCTTCTTTCTGTTATAGATCAGAGGAATTTTCCAAAGAATAACAAGGACTGAACAATGACTAGTTTACTTATTCAAGAATGGCAGACATCTCCTCACGCCTTGTTCTTTAGGAGATATTTGCATCTATAGTCACTGTTAAGGTGCTCCTACAACCTAATAAATGGATATAATCAAATTGTGCTAATTAAGTTTAAATGACACCACAGTGAAAAACATAATGAAAAATCAACGGCTATTTAATTTTCCTGTGGCTATGAATGTTGGGGTACCACTGCTTAAAGCAAACCAGCATCTTAGAAAACTGAGCAGAACTATGAATTTTGGTGGGGATAGGTTATCATTTATGTGATATATTAGAAGCCAGCACGTAAATGAATTTGCCAGCAGCCACACAAAACTGAAATATCAGAGATCAACTAGGAGAAATGTGTAGTGTTGGAAGAAGGTGAAGAAAGTTGTATTTAGAATGTATGAAGGGAGTAAATTAAGATTTTTGGTTTCTAAGTTTTTATTTTAATAAATAGTGTCTGCCTATGTTCAGTTGCCAAAGAACAGCACAGGTAGGGATAGACAGAGGGAGAATTATGAGATATAGAATCCTTAGGAGCACTGTCCTAAGAGAAGAAAGAAAATTACAGAACACATTTAGTATATTGCACTAGGAACAGCTTTGTCCACCTCAATAAAAGAAGAAAATAAAAATAAAAATCCCTAACTGATCCTTCTTTGATTATGCGTGCAGCTGGAAGACTTAAACGTTAAAATGTTTGACCTGAAAGGTAAATTCAAGAGGCCAGCACTGAGACGTGTGCGTATGTCTGCTGATGCTATGCTCCGCGCCTTGCTGGGTTCCAAACACAAGGTCAACATGGAACTCCGTGCCAATCTCAAGCAGGTCAAGAAAGAGGACACTGACAAGGTGAGACTTCAGCCAAACACACTCCATTGTTTTACTGAATAGAATTAGCAGTAACTGTCAAGGCACAGCTACATTGCAAAAAATAGAATAAAATATATAAGTACCCATTAGTGTCCCATTAGGGAGATTTACTCTCACCGATTTGTTCTGGTGACCATTGTCAAAGGAACTGAAAATGAAGGGACATCTTCCAATGGGCACACTTGTATGAAAGAAGTAGCTGACGCCGCTGCTGAAAAGGAACGTTACCTGGCTGAGAACTGCCCCCCTCTGAGCCTCCCACATTCCTTGCAGGATCTGCAGGTACCAACAAATGTCCAGTGACAGGAGCCCAACCAGCCAACCAGGGTGACATGTTACACATATGGGCTTATTCAGAAAGCATTGCACCTGACAAACTTACTTATCAAAGTAACTGAGTAAAGGTGGTCTACATTGTCCACAGAAACCAATCAAATTTCCATTTCCTCTTTCCAAAGGTATCAGAGAGAATGAAAAGGACATACTGACAATACACTGTCTAAGCCAGTTCTTTTCTTAAAAGAATCAGACCACTGAACCCAGTGGTCTGATTATTAAAACAGTAGACTTGCTATGGGATACAGAAGATTATTTTATGTTTTGTTAGGTATTTACCTATAACATGATATATGTGTTAAGTTCTAACTAGACGTAATGAAACATATACTGCAGAAATAAAAACAAGAGCAATTATTTTACTCATTTTATTTTTTAAATAATTTATTTCTCTATTAAGAGTCCAGAGAAGGGCAACTAAACTAATTAAAGTGACATTAAACCCTCAGATTTTTGTAACATAAAACAATACTGTAATGTGCGCCCATGGTAGTTTCCCTTCTCTTTGCTGCTCTTCCTTTTAAATCTGTATCTGTTCTCATGCTGGGCAGAACTTCTGTTTTGCAGCAGACTGCCTTGTCTCTGGGATGGCTACATGGTGTCTGTGTGTAGGTTTGTAACCTGAGCCAGCACTACAGGAAGAGGCAGTCAGCTGCAAAGGGAACTTCTCCCCAAGCATGAGAAGACATGAGGATTTTAAAGGAAGAGCAGCAAAGAGAAGGGAAACTACCATGGATTACAGTAAGGCACACATTACAGTATTGGTTTATGTTAAAAAATCTGAGGGTTTAATGTCACTTTAAGGGGATGGAGGCCCAAACCTATGAGACAAGGTTACTAAATTTAAACATGTTCACGCTAGAAGTGATGAGATTAAGGGGGGACATGATTTTGATGTACAAGATGTTCAGTGGTGATAGCAACATCAGCAATAAACTTTTTACAGTAAACTCCATAACAAAGACTAGAGGCCACCACCTAAAATTGGTGGAGAAAAGATTTAACCACAAGCAGGGGCTTCTTAGAGTGGTTAGAGTCCGGAACTCACTGCCACAAGAATTGGTATCAGCCGAGAGTATTGAATCATTCAAAAAGCATTTAGACAACTTCCTCAGAGACCGTAACATAAAGGGGTATGGGTACCCTTAAAAACATGATCACACAGGGACTCATACACACACATACAGAATCACATACATACACACAATAGGTTGAACTTGATGGACCTGTGTCTTTATTCAACTTCAAATACTATGTAACTATGTAACTATTATTCAAGCGATGATGCATTACTATGCATTGGACATAACTGTGATATTATCCAACACAGTGGCTGCTCATGGTTATTTAAATCACAGCTGAGACTAAGAAGGCAAGAGGGCACATACTAAATCCGCATATAATGCTGAGCATATGCAATACCTATGTTCCTGGATCCATGTAGGCCATCTTTTCAGTTTTCTCTGTAGACACATCTGTGTAACCTCCAGAATGTTGAAACTGCATACATGTACTGGCTTTCTTTAGTGTTTCTTTAACCAATTAACTAGCTTAATTAGTTAATTGGTCCATGGTGCAAAGGAACCAGGCTTCTCTGTCTCAATATTAAGATCTACAGAGTTCTGGAATCCATGTTTAATTTTTGGAGTCAGTTATTTTATATCTTTTAAACCCTGCCTAACAGCAGACACAACAATGTGCCTTCAATTACTTTTGTTAAATAGAAAACCCTTCTCAATGTACCTTCCAGAAGCAAGTTTTACTGTCGCTAGGGACATTTCTTCCCTAATGTAAGAACTAAACACAGGCAATTCCTTATTGCATTACTGGCTACAAAAGCACTCCCATTGAACTTTGGGACAATGGTTGGCAGAGCTTAGCCATGAATTCAGAAAGGTGTACAAATTAGGGTTCCCTGGATAACAATATTAGCAGGCAGTGTCCGCTCATAAAGCAGTAGGTCTCTGTTGACCCTTTTGTTTTAAGTACTGGAGGAAACCTCTAAAAAAGAACATAGATATGCAAGACTCACTAACAGGCTATTCACTAAAGAGTGAAGAGTTTGAAGAAGGCAGAAGAAGTGAACAATCTAGGACAGCACAGCTAAATTGTTCTGAATCAGCTATTTTGGCCTAGATTGTTCACTTCTCCTGCCTTCTCCAAACTCTTCACCCATTAGTGAGTAGACCTGTAAGTATTTATGTCAACTATAGGTGAGTTATTCTACTGGAACAAAACAAAGGAACTAGTAAATAAACTCACATCTTAAGTTATGATGTTAATGATCAGATATTTTCTGAGGGTATTATATTTTGATGACACAGCACCATCTCTATAGACTGCTGGAATGGAACCGAAGAACCTGGACTCCAACAGCTATACATCCCAGATTAATGATCTGTCAGTACTACCAGCTGTAGCTAAAAGTAGATTTTACTATAAAGCACCTGCTTAAATCATTTAAGAATATACTGTAAAAAAATAAAATAAAGATACAGTGCAATGTGCACAAATATATTGTCCTATATCTGCATATTAGAAACACAATTTAGAAAGCAATAACGTTTCTAAGACCATTAATTTTTTTAAATAATCATTTATTTTCAAATCCAGCAGCAATTAATATGTTCAGCCCAGTTTGCTCCATGGAAATTTCAAGTACTTATAGTGTATAAATCTACAACAATTTAATTAATGCAGAATCACTCTAAGGCATATTTATTTATTGTCTTTGTTAACTTTCTTATCTTCACCCAGGAATTTTGCAAAAAGTTACATGCCAAGATTGATGTGGTTGATGAGGAGAGGTACGACATGGAAGTCAAAGTCCAGAAGAGCAGCAAGGAGGTAACTGCTTGATTATAAAGTCTTACAATTGGTATGTTGGAACAGCTGGGCGGATTATTCCAAATGATGCTCTAAATTTAGAGCATGACTTGTTATCATCAGACCGCCTCTGTACTCTTAGGGGAAAAAAACAAGCACCCCCGGCACTTGGAAGGTGTTGCTAATGCATAGGGACAATGCTTCTTTCTGTTATAGATCAGAGGAATTTTCCAAAGAATAACAAGGACTGAACAATGACTAGTTTACTTATTCAAGAATGGCAGACATCTCCTCACGCCTTGTTCTTTAGGAGATATTTGCATCTATAGTCACTGTTAAGGTGCTCCTACAACCTAATAAATGGATATAATCAAATTGTGCTAATTAAGTTTAAATGACACCACAGTGAAAAACATAATGAAAAATCAACGGCTATTTAATTTTCCTGTGGCTATGAATGTTGGGGTACCACTGCTTAAAGCAAACCAGCATCTTAGAAAACTGAGCAGAACTATGAATTTTGGTGGGGATAGGTTATCATTTATGTGATATATTAGAAGCCAGCACGTAAATGAATTTGCCAGCAGCCACACAAAACTGAAATATCAGAGATCAACTAGGAGAAATGTGTAGTGTTGGAAGAAGGTGAAGAAAGTTGTATTTAGAATGTATGAAGGGAGTAAATTAAGATTTTTGGTTTCTAAGTTTTTATTTTAATAAATAGTGTCTGCCTATGTTCAGTTGCCAAAGAACAGCACAGGTAGGGATAGACAGAGGGAGAATTATGAGATATAGAATCCTTAGGAGCACTGTCCTAAGAGAAGAAAGAAAATTACAGAACACATTTAGTATATTGCACTAGGAACAGCTTTGTCCACCTCAATAAAAGAAGAAAATAAAAATAAAAATCCCTAACTGATCCTTCTTTGATTATGCGTGCAGCTGGAAGACTTAAACGTTAAAATGTTTGACCTGAAAGGTAAATTCAAGAGGCCAGCACTGAGACGTGTGCGTATGTCTGCTGATGCTATGCTCCGCGCCTTGCTGGGTTCCAAACACAAGGTCAACATGGAACTCCGTGCCAATCTCAAGCAGGTCAAGAAAGAGGACACTGACAAGGTGAGACTTCAGCCAAACACACTCCATTGTTTTACTGAATAGAATTAGCAGTAACTGTCAAGGCACAGCTACATTGCAAAAAATAGAATAAAATATATAAGTACCCATTAGTGTCCCATTAGGGAGATTTACTCTCACCGATTTGTTCTGGTGACCATTGTCAAAGGAACTGAAAATGAAGGGACATCTTCCAATGGGCACACTTGTATGGGCTTGAGATGGCAACACCCACCCCCCCC